GCTGAAGCAGACATTTCATTGAGAGGACTAGAAGAGAGTCCAGGGTTGCTAGGAGATAAACATTATTTTACTCATTTTGTAGAAAACAAACCTAAGACTCAGAAGGTTAAGTAGAAGAGATCACATAGCTAGTAAGGGGTGGAGTGTGAGGATTCCAGCCCTCACAGCCCAGCTCTAGCCTGTGCTTTTAATTATTGCTTTACTTCCGGAGGAGATAGGCCTTAAATTGGGGCTGCCTGGGCAGGAAGAGGGGTGCACGGCATGGGCAAAGACTGGTGGGGGGGGTTGCGGATAGATTTATAGGTGTTTAGGTAAACCAAGTGAAGTTTGGAGATAGGGTTGGGAAGTCAGATTGGGGGTAGAGTTTGAAGGAGGTGAAGCACATTTTGTGTGCCTGTGTTGGAGTCTTGTGGTTCAAAGAGAAGGTTCTTGTTCAGGGTCATGCTGCTGAGTTAGAACCCAGCTCCCTTCTGTTGGAACAGGTTCTAGACCAGAAGGAGCACAGGCTGGATGGCCGTGTCATTGACCCCAAAAAAGCCATGGCCATGAAGAAAGACCCAGTAAAGAAAATTTTTGTGGGGGGTCTGAATCCTGAAGCCACTGAGGAGAAGATCAGGGAGTACTTCGGCGAGTTTGGGGAGGTGAGTGTGTGGCCCCCGGAGTGGTCTGCCAGCTGCACCGAGGTTGCCTTCTTCTTGGTCCTTGGTACCTTGGCTGGCTGGAGCTCTTTTTCACTCTGGTGTTCGTGGACGTTTTCTCCTGTGAGTTCCTTATAGGCTCTGCGGTAGGGTCCTGAGCTTTGCTTACGTTTGCAGATTGAAGCCATTGAGCTTCCAATGGATCCAAAGTCGAACAAAAGACGAGGCTTTGTTTTCATCACCTTTAAAGAAGAAGAACCTGTGAAGAAAGTTCTGGAGAAAAAGTTCCACACCATCAGTGGAAGTAAGGTAAGGTGTCCCCAGCTGTGTGTGCTTGGCATTCTGCTGGAGAGCTGGCCTTTGCAGGCGTGGATTAGGCATTGGGTTACCTCCAAGAGTTCTCCAGGGTATACGTTACTGTTTTCTGCACTGTTTGCTGTCCTCATAGGGGAGGGGCAGGTTGTCCTGTCTTTTCACGGAGCTCCTAGGCTGGTAGGACAGGATATGAGGGAGGCAGGAGAATACTGGAGGACGGGAGCCTTATATGGGATAGAGTGTGTGCTGAGTAGCCTCTTCAGATCCTGACTTAAAGGTAGAGGTCATGGTGTTTGGGATGTAGAGTGCAAAGTGTGTTAAGTCCTACAGTTAAGGTCTCAGAAGATTCTAAAATTGCCATTTACTGTTTTCTGTGGAGAAGTCTTACCTGCTTTGGACGTTGTTGTAGAGCTTTTATCTTTACCTCCTGCCACAACCAAATCTGTTTTATCTCCATCCCCTTTGGTTACTGGTTAAATTAAGCCCCACCCCAAAGATCCTTTCCAGAGAGCTCCCAGGGTCCTGGCCACCTTAAATCTAGAGTCAGTTTTGACTTCAAATAAGCGAGAGTCCTGTTCAGTGAGGGGCAACTCTTCCCTCTGAACTCTGGACAGGAGAGAGGGTAGGTAGTTCATGCTCCCTGTGTTCTCCAGTGGCCGAGGCAGTTGGGAGTTGAGGGTGTGGCCCACTGGCAAGGTGTGGCAGGCTCTGCCTGAGCAGGAGTGGCAGCCAGATAAGGTGGGACACATAGGGTGGGGCTCCTGGAAGCCTCAATCCTGGCTGGGAATTTTTGGAAAGATTGGATTTGGGATTGGGCCCCTAAATTTTATGCAAAATGAGATGGGATCATAGGGGCTGTTGGGTGAGACCTCATCCATTAATGGTTACCCCAGTGGACAGTGACATGGAAAGAGATCTTTATCTCTGTGCCATGATGTGAAATGGGCATGAAGAGCCTATTAGGGCACCATTAGTCAAACTGCTAGTGGTTGATCTTGAAATAAGTGTTATTTAGCAGGTTGTATTCAGTATTTTTAACTTAGTAGGATAGAAAACATGAGATCGCATCACTTGATAATTTGCTGATTTTTTGAGTATGCTTGTATGGGGACATCTTGCGTAAAATGGTTTTTTTTTTTTTTTTTTGCGGTACGCGGGCCTCTCACTGTTGTGGCCTCTCCTGTTGCAGAGCACAGGCTCTGGACGCGCAGGCTCAGTGGCCATGGCTCATGGTCCCAGCCGCTCCGCAGCATGTGGGATCTTCCCGGGCCGGGGCACGAACCCGTGTCCCCTGCATCGGCAGGTGGACTCTCAACCACTGCGCCACCAGGGAAGCCCCCTAAAATGTTTTTTTAATTGGTCTTAATGGAGAGGGTTATGTGTCAGTGGACTTTCTTTTAAAAATATACTTAAAGCAGGAGCACTTGAAGGTCCATGACCCTCATGAGAGTTTTGAGCAAAAAGGAAATTGACTCTCTGGGCCCTAAGAAGACACAGATATCTGGCCCATCCCAACAGCCCACCAGTGGTTGGAGGAGAAAGGGGGAGCAGTATGGCCTTAGGGAAGGCTGCCTTGAGCTTCAGTGGCTTTCTTTATAAGATGGAGGTCAGGTTTGCCACCTCAATAGTGTATTTGAGTGGAATGCTTTTATTTATTCTGGGGGGGAGAAAAGAACCTTTTTTCTCTAAGATCCCTTACCTGGGAAGCCTTCTCTGACTCCCTTGCCCAAGGTGGCACCAGATTGACACCTGGTGTGGTGTCTTGCTACACTGGACTGGCATTGGTCCAGCTGTCCTTCTCCCACTTGTTAGAGCACCCAAGGGTGACCATCAGTGGACCTGTCCCATTGGGTGTATCCCATTGTTTCAAGCACTCTGGGGAAAGGCTTGAGCCAAAAAGCCCATTGTGTGAGTTTTTCGGTCTGTCTAGATTTTAGTTGTGATTCTGAGCTAGTCCAAATGTGGTTTCCCACCCCAGCATGTGTTCTTGAGCAGATAGAGAAGATCTGCCTCCTGAACGTTTGTCAGCGAAGGCCTTCGTGCACACTTCCTGCCCAGGGCTTGTCCCACTGGCATGACCCACTGTTCTCTTGGCTTTCAGTGTGAAATCAAGGTGGCTCAGCCCAAAGAGGTTTATCAACAGCAGCAGTATGGCTCTGGGGGCCGTGGGAATCGCAACCGAGGGAACCGAGGCAGCGGTGGTGGCGGCGGAAGTGGAGGAGGTGAGTGGAACCCAGATGAAGATGAGTCCTGTTTCCCTGCCTGCATGGAGCTTCTGTGCCTGTTTTGGGGGCTCTCTTGGCCTCTGGTGCTTGGTGCAGCAGGGTGGGCAGAATCAGGAATGGTTTTCCTGGGTTGAGGCTATGCTGCTGCTGCTGCTGCTTGGAGTAGAAGAGCCCATTTTTCTCATGTGGTCTGGGGCCCCAGGGCAGAGGGGGCATCTGCATCAAGACGGGGTGTGCTTGGCTCTGTGGCTGTCCTGAGTCTTGGTACACCCATGGGTGGGTGGGCTGAAGGGTAGGGCAAGGCTGTGCCAGGCGCTTAACCTCCTTCCGTCCCAGGCCCCTCTGACTCCAAAGCCTGAACTCCATCCTTTTTAAGGCCAAGCTGCCAGGGAGGGTGGGGGTGAGCAGAGGGTGATTTGAATGAGAGTGAGCTGCCTCGGTTGCCCCAGTGAAGTTAGTTTTCCATCCTGGCCTGGCCTTCTTACCCCCAGCTTGGGTCTCAGGTACAGGGCTGGGCCCAGGGCCCTCCCTCTACAACAGGACAGCAGCCCCTTGGCTTTTCTGAGTTGCCATAGTAACCTCGCCACCCAAAGGGCAGGATTTCCTCCATCCTAGCTCCTGCGTGTGCTAAATGGTCCATGGGCCCCTGTGCCCTGCTCCCCCCCCACAGGTCAGAGTCAGAGTTGGAATCAGGGCTACGGCAGCTACTGGAACCAGGGCTACGGCTACCAGCAGGGCTACGGGCCCGGCTATGGCGGCTACGACTACTCGCCTTATGGTTATTACGGCTACGGCCCCGGCTACGACTACAGTAAGTAGGAGAGAGGGAGGCCCCCATCCACTCACCCACCCTGGGAGGCAGGACAGACAGTGCAGGGGCCACTGGCAGCAGGGGCTTTGGAGTCGGACAGGCTGGGCTTTGTGGCCTGGCTTGCTCACTGGAGCTACCCGATTTTGAGCTTTTGGGGCTCAGGAAGGTGGGGAAGATGTCCTATCAGAGTTGTTGGCTCTGGTGAGGATGCATATCAAGCGCCTGGCACAGGAGTAAATGCTCAGTAAGTTGTAGCTGCTCTCATTGTTGTTCTTGTCCCTAGGTCAGGGTAGTACAAATTACGGGAAGAGCCAGCGACGCGGTGGCCATCAGAATAACTACAAGCCATACTGAGGCTTTGGCAGGAGTGTCCGACTGACCGCACACGCTTTGTTTGGATATCGAGTGAACACAATTATGTACCAAATTTAACTTGGCAAACTTTCTATGGGCTGTCCCATGTGCGTCTTATTTAAAATTTCCCCCCTGGAAATCACTCTCCTGTTTAATATATCCAGAGCTCTAGTTGTTTTAGGCAGCGTGTGGTGTCTCGAGGCCAGAGCGGCATCATGGGCTCATTTTTATTACCCGGTTACCCGGAGCCAGATTGGAGGGTCTGCTTCCTGCGGCCGCTCTGCAGCCTGGACCTGTGGACCCTGGTTGTAAAGAGTAAATTGTATCTTAGGAAAACAGTGTCACCTTTTTTCACCTTTAATTTTATATTATTTGTGTCATACATTTCCTATAATGGAAGTGTTAATTTTACTGTACTTTTTGGTACCTTTCGGGAATCTAATGTATTGTAAGGTATTTTACACGTGTCCTGATTTTGCCACGACCTGGATATTGAAGCTATCCAAGCTTTTGAAATAAAAATTTAAAAACCCCCAAGCCTGGGTGAGTGTGGGATATACTGTGAAGGGGGGGGGGGACAGGTGCTCCAGAGCTCCAGTATCCTCCAAGACCACCTAACCTGCATCCTGTCAGGCATAAGCACACACTCTCCACATCTTTGGTTAGTTTCCTTTAATGACTTGGCCCTGCCTAGGACTTGTGCCCCTTTAAAGAAAGTGGAGTGGCTCAGATATTTGGGGCAGCTGTTCAGGGGGGTGAAAACAGTACAGTGAGGGTTACCACCCTCAGTGGGGACACTGCCCCAGTGTCCCCAGGGCAGTTCGAGTCTGGAGCACCTTGGAACACCTGTCTTGACTTGCCATTGGAAATGGGATTCTCTCTCCCAGCAAAGACAGTGTGAACCTAAAGATAAGAGCAGACACACAAAGGGCCAGCTGGATCTGGGCAAGATGGTGCCCCTCCTGGTTGTAACGGCCCCCTGTGGCAGGGCCTATCTGTTGGCCTGATTGGAGCACCCCAAGTCTAGTGGCTGAGGCCTAAGATAGCTAGTTGTAAGACACAGCACTTGGCTGGGGGCTGCAGGTGGATAAAGCCTGCCAGAAGCTCTCCCGTAGAGGAACCCGCTGGAGAAGGGAGGAAATAGCTATATTCTTTGCTCAGCCATCAAATGCAAACTTAAGTACTTTGGAGATTTTTCAGAGATGGGGGATGGGGAGAGCCCAAGGCAGCCAGAGCCTCCCAGTATTAAAACTAACCTGTGGGAAGGGGACATCACTTGGAACAAGAATGTTGAAGGAGCTACTAAATAGGTGGTAAGGAACCCAGTTCTGGTTCTCTAGGAACAAGAAGTAAGGCCACTTACCTAGAGGACACCCCTCAGCAGAGCTGCCTCAGGGCTGGAGCCTCAGAGTCTCGCAACTTCTCACTTTCTCTTCCATGTCTGAAAAAGATGGTCAACCTTTCTCCTCTGCTAAAGACTTCTGCCTTCAGTGTCCAGGCTTCTTGGATGGCAGTGTGGAGACTGGGCCCACTGGCCTGTCCAAGCCCATGTCCCACCCTTTACCCATGTGTACAGGCCACCACAGGGTCAGCAACAATTTCCCAAGAGGACAAAACCAGCCCTCAGATTTTCTGAGGCTTCCAGGCTCAACTGAAGTCCCTTCTATACAGTAACTCCAAGCCAATTCTGTGCCCAGTCAGCTTTTCCTCCGCAGGCTTCCCGAAAATACATTCCCTTCCCCCAGCAGGTTCCGTACCACCTCCAGTTGTGTCTAGTAGGGACTGACCTCAGCTCTAGAGACCTTGTGACCACAGTGAAATAGCCTGGGGGTGGGGTGGGGGTGGTTGTAGCTGGGCTGCTCTGATCTCTATCAGGAAGATAGCATTTTGCCTATTTTGGGGTCCCCCACTGAGCTCTGTACATGCAACATCACCTCAGTGCATCGATGTGTCCAATTTGGTAATTATAGATTTCCTTGTAAGTGGATTTAGAGGAGAGTTTGACTTTCCTAAATGATAAGGAATGTGCAGAGGGATTTCATTTTGTGTTGAATCAGTCCAGGGTGCAAATCTCATTTCAGCCACTTAGCAGCTGAAGAAAGCAAAGCTACTGCCACCTACATCTCAGGGAGGCTTTAAGGACACAATGGAACCTCCCACTAGTTCCGATAGTTGGGCTTAAAAGCCCAGCCCTGCTTCCCTTGTCCTGCATGCCACACTGGTGCCTGCCCAGGCAGGATGGGTGGTGGCTCATTTCCCATCTACCCAGGGCTCAGATTTTGGGGGACACAGGCAGGAATAGGGGAGGCCTTCACTTCAGCTCCCTACTCCCTGCACTGTTCAGAGGACACCTGGCTCAGCTGTTGCACCCCTGTCCCTGGGCATGCTGGGAGGTCCTAGCTCCAGGCTGGGTTGTAGAGACACAGTTATCAGCTGCCCCTTGGGTCTCCAGGCTCACCTGTCAGGATGGCATCCAGCTTTGCTACCACGTGTCGTGCGTTGTCCAAGCTGAAACACATCGGGGGCTTGAACTTCAGGACATTCCTTCCGGGGCCGTCGGTGCTCAACAAAATGTAGTTTTCTTTCAGCCTGCAAGGATAGGACACAGCAGGGCCTGCTGCCCACCAGCCAAGGGCACTTCACATGGGCCTTTCAGACCTTCCTCAGCCTGGCTTTGGCCTCGTGGGCGCGACTCCAGCCACACTGCCCTCAGAACCTTCCATAGGCCAGTTCCCACCAGGATACAGCACTGGCCACCCCCTGCCAAACTCCTGCCCAACTTTATGGCCCAGCATCAGAGGCCCCTGTCTGGGGTGCCCTACATCTGGCCCTGAGCCTGCTGCCTGCACCCCCCCGACCCCCAAGCAGGGGTCTTGCTTCATCCCTCCCTGGAGCCCCAGTTGAAGCCGAGATTGGCCACGGGGCTACAATGTGGATAGCAAGAGTCCTTGCATTTTTCATTTTAACATGGTTTATGTGACATTGTATGGTTTACTTTTTACATGGAAAGTGTCCAACATTCACAAAGAGAGTAGTACAGTGAACCCATGGAGCCCTCACCTAGCTTCTAACTTCCCTGCCAACCCTTTCTCTACTCTGCCCCCAGGTTATGTTGTAACCCCAGACAGGACTATCCAGTTTTAATTTCCAGTTCTTTTTGGAAGTTATTTAACATCATCATTGGTATCTAATAATTGTTTTTAATATTCCACATTTACACTTTTAACCTAGGAAGGTATTTTGGCCTCTGAGAGAAGGGGTCTGATGTGACTGTATTTACACTCTCTCTGACCCCCCACTCTCATTCTTTTTTATTTATTCCTTTTATGTAAGTCTTGTCAGGAGCAGGGTGTCCTCAGCCTGCCTCTGGCTCCTTTCTCGCATCCCAGTCTTCCTGGCACTGACAGCATCTGTGCTAGAAAGATCAGGTTCTGGACTTTAAATCCAGCTCTGCCTTTAGCAGGGTGACTGCCACTGAAACACCGTTCCACCTGGTTCCTGTTTCTTCACTGAACTGGAGAAACCACAGGGGTGGTTGTAAGGTGGAGGAGGTCAGGCTTGGCTGAGGATCTGACTCTCTCCTTCCCACAGACCATCCTGAATTTCTGAGTCTTGAGGCTCCCTGGGGGAAAGGGTGGGTGAGCTGGTGGATGTGCCCAACCAGCACAGAGAAGGCAGGGGCTGGGCAGCCACGCAGGAGGGGTCAGCTTCAAAAAACGTGTGGGGAGAACGATTTTTACATCAATACTGTTTACGTGAATTCGAAACAGAATGACACACATTTCACAACTTGAATAAGGACACGCATCAAACACTAGATGGGTTTTCCAAGGTGGGGGAAGGAGGTAGGAGTGAGGAATGGAAATAAAAAGGAAGTAACGAAACAAGAAGGGAAAGGGTCCTGCGGCTTGGGTCCTGCCTGGGGTTCAAGTGAAAGAACATGGGAACCAGAACTGGGAGCGAGGGCTCCTGAGTCCTGAGATGCTGAGTCATCCAGACACTCCCCACCCAGACAAGGAACAGGAGTCCTATTTGAAAACCCTCTAGGAATGGAGAGTCTGGTTCTGCCACAGCCTCAGGTATGGCTCTGGAGAAGCTGCTTCCCTCGGGCAGCCTGGGGCTATGAAATGCAGCCTTGGGGCTGCCTGGGTCTGAGAGCTTCTGCAGCTTTGGCATTTTTGGCATAAGTGTCTGCTCAGGCTGGGAACGGACCGCACCCATCTGAAGCCTTTGCTGCCAGGCACTGGGTACAGAGCTGATGGGGCCGCTTTCTCTGTCCGCAGAGCCCAGTCAAAGGGGTGCACAGATTGGCAGCCCTCTAACCCAGAGGCTAAAAGCCACCTCCTTCAGTCAACCCTGTGTGGGCCCAGCGTGCCTGGGAGAGGCAAGAGGGGAGCTCTTTCCCAGTCAGGGCTGTAGAAACAAGTTGTTTCAAGAAAAAATACCTGGACACCACATAGTCAGCCTCTTCGGTTGCTGGCATCCTTGTGGCCTCATCTTTGATCAGATCCACACCAATGAAGAGCCCAACGCCCCTGGAGCAGAAGGTGACATCTCAGGAGGCCAGGCCTGAGGGACCATGGTCCTTGCTCTCACCCTCTGCCTGGGCCTCAGCCAAGCCCCTGTCAGAAAGCCCACCAGGGCTTGCACCTCTGCCTCCTGGGGAGGCTGAGAGCTGTAGGAACCCTTGGAGGGTGCTAAAACAGTTCCAGGAAGTAACTGTGATGGTGAGGGGCCCTCAATGTGGCTAGAGGAAAGTTTGATCCTGGCTTCACCCCCCTCCTCCCTCCAGAGGTGCCATCTTGGGCAGTAGCACCTGTAGGTGCTTCAGTTCCTCTGCAGAGTGGAGATAAAAGTTCCCACCATCCCAGGTGGTGATGAAGTGAATGAAGGAACCACACCAGGCCCCTGGGAGGTGGTGACTGCTACCCTGAGCCTCACCTGATGTCCCCAAGGATGGGATGTTTGGCTTTCTGCTGTCCAAGGAGCTCCATCAGGAGGCTGCCCACAGAGGCAGCATGAGCCTGCAGCTGCTCCTTTTCCAAGACATCCAGGACGGCCAGCCCAACAGCGCAGGACACTGGGCTGCCCCCAAACTGAGCCAGGCGACAAAGAGCATGTCAGATGCTCAGCAGAGTGGGCCATGCCTCAGGGACTGTGAAGAGCAGCAGAACTGCCACACACAGTGCAAAGGCAGTGATGAGCACAGGCCTGAACCCCTCAGGGCTCAGCATGCTGGGCAGTAAATGGGGTTCTTCTGAGTCCCCCATGGGTTGTCCCATCTTTCCAGGTGCTAATGTGACTGTAATCCAGGCCAAGTAATAGGATCCCCAAGAACATGCAAAAATCAGAGGAGAGGATGTACTAGGCATTCCCACACAGCTGTTTTTTGTCAAAAGGCTTCAGGGCCCCATCTCATGGACTGGACCCAGACCCACTGCATTGCACTGCCCATCACCTCTTTCAAGGAGGGTCAAGAGCAGCATGCCAGAGCCACACCCAGGAAAAGTCACTCTGTGGTTCCAGCTCACAGCTCTGCTGGCTGAGCCCAAGGCAGATTTTAGGGCGCAGACCACAAGCTGCCTGTGAGCCAAATGCGGCCTGAGGATTCATTGTGTTTGGCTTGTGTGGCATAATTAAAAGTTTTGAATTAGGTGCTAATGTCTTAAGAAGAGACTTAACACAAAAATATGTTTGACTTAAAACAAACCTAGCCTATCTGGCTACATTGGCACTACCTGTCCCCTTCAGGCACCCTGAGTGCTTTGACTCACTTCCTCCACCTGGCCCTGCAGGTGTCTGAGGACCTGCATTGCAGAAAGTCAGAAGGAAGGGGTCTCCTGCAGACCATCTTTTTTTTTTTTAAACTATATCTTAAAAAAACCACAAAACTTTATTGAGGTATAGTTTACATACAATAAACTGCATATATTTAAAATGTATGTAGTTCAGTGTGACTTGACAAATGTATCTACCTGTGGAACCTCCACTACCATGAAAATACAAAACATTTCCAGCATTCCCCAAAGTTCCTTGTGCTCCCATCCACTACTGGCCCAGGCAACCACTGACTCTGTCACTATAGTTTTGCCTTTTCTGGAATGTCATGTGAATGGAATCACAAAATATGTAACCTTTTGTGCCTGGCTTCTGCTCAACATGTTTTTAAAATTCATCTATAATGTTGTGTGTATTGGTCGTTTGTTCATTTTATGGCTGCATAGTATTCCATTATATGGACACACTACAATTTGTTTATCCAAATTCCTGTTGATAGACCTTGGGGCTTGTTTTGATTTGGGGCTATTTACGAATAAAACTGTTATAAACATTTATAACAAGTCTTTTTGTTAACATACGTTCTCATTTCTCTTGGGTAAATACCTAGGAGTGGAACTGCTGGACGGCTTGATAAATATATATTTAACTATATAAAAAAGTGAAACTGTTTTCCAAAGTCGTACCATATTACATTCCCACCATTAGTCTATGAAATCCCAGTAGCTCCACATCCTCAAAAACATTTGGAATTGTTGCATTTTTTTTTTTTTGTGGTATGTGGGCCTCTCACTGTTGTGGCCTCTCCCGTTGCGGAGCACAGGCTCAGCGGCCATGGCTCACGGGCCCAGCTGCTCTGCGGCATGTGGAATCTTCCCGGACCGGGGCACGAACCCGTGTCCCCTGCATCGGCAGGCGGACTCTTGACTACTGCGCCACCAGGGAAGCCCTGTTGCAGTTTTTAATTGCAGCCATTCTAATGGGTATGCAGCGGTATCCTGTAGACCATCTTGAAAATTTGCTTGCAGAACCTCGTACTTGTGATCATAAAAAGCTTCCTAGGTGATTTGCTGTGAGGCAGCTTTCTGATATGTCCAAAGCAAATTATGTGTGGGATGGACACAGGGGATGGATTGAGGCTATTTATTGCATATTATTATCAACTGTGAACTCGTTAAGAGGTCGTGTGTTCTACCCATAGCATCTTTGGTTTAGAATTGTGGCCTGGCCAAGATGCTGAACTAGCATAATAGATAACATAGTTATCTGTTCTGAACTAGTTCAGAAAAGGCAATATACAAACAACAACAAAAAGCATCAACAACAAACCATGAGGAGGGAAAATGATTTCCAATGTTGCCACATTATATTATTTAAAAATGTCTAGTTCTCAACAGAAAATTATGAATCATGAAAAGAAAGAAGAAAGCATGGCCCATATATGGGGTGGTGGTGGTGGGGGGTGTGGATACAATCAACAGAAACTGTTATGGAGGAAGCCCAGATGATGGCCTTATTAGACAAAGACTTTTTCTTTTTTTTTAGACAAAGACTTTAAATCAGATATTATAAATATGCTTAAACACTAAAGGAAACCATATCTAAAGAATTAAAAGCTAAGCATGAAAATGGCGTCTTGCCAAATTTGGAAGATCAATAAAGAAATAGAAATTATAAAAAAGAACTAAATAGAAAGTCTGGAGTTGAAAAGCACTGTAGCTGAAATGAAAAATTAAGAGGCTCAACAGCAGATTTAATCAGGCAGATGAAAGAATCAGGAAACTTGAAGATACGTTGATTGAGACTGTCCAGTCTGAAAATCGGAAAGAAAAAAGAATAAAAAAAATGAACAGAGCCTCAGAGACCTGTGGGACACAAGCATACCAACATATGCAAATAAGAATTCCAGAAGGAGAGGAAGGGGCAGAAAGAATATCTGAAGAAACAATGGTCAAAAACTTACTAAATTTGACTAAAAAAACACCCCAACAACAATCTAAACATCCAAGGAGCTCAATGAACTCCAAGTAGAATAAACAAGTTTCATACCTAGACAAAACATAGCCAAGGTGCTAAAAGACAAGAACAAGAGGGTGGGTAAATGGGTGAAGGTCGTCAAAGGTAAAAAAATTCCAGTTGTAAATAAGTCACAGGGATGTAAGGTACAGCATGGTGACTATAGTTAATAATACTGGGGACTTCCCTGGTGGTCCAATAGTTAAACTCTGTGCTTCCACTGCAGGGGGCTTGAGTTTGATCCCTGGTCGGGGAACTAAGATCCCATGTGCTGCACAGCGCTGCCAGAACAAACAAGCAATACTGTATTGTATATTTGAAAGTTATTAAGAGAGTAGACCTTAAAAGTTCTCATCACAAGAAAAAAAACTGTAACTTAATGGTGATGGATGTCAAGTAAACTTATTGTGGTTATCATTTTGCAATACATACAAATATTGACTCATTATATTGTACACCTGCAACTAATATGATGTTGTCTGTCAATTATAACTCAAAAAAAAAAAAAAAAGGACAAAGAGAATATTGAAATTAGCAAGAGAGAAGCAACTCATCATGTACAAGAGATTCTCAACAAGATTAATAGCTGATTCCTCATCAGAAACCCTAAAGGCCAGAAGGCAGTGGGATGACCTATTCAAAGTGATGAAAGAAAAATACTGTCAGTCCATAATTCTCTATAAAGTAAAAGTATCCTTCAAAGATAAAGGAGACAGGAATTCCCTGGTGGTCCAGTGGTTAGGATTCTGTGCCAAGGGCCCGGGTTCAATCCCTAGTTGGGGAACTAAAATCCAACATCCCACAAGATGCATGGTGCAGAATAAAAAAGAAAGGAAAGAAAAGAAAGAAAGAAAGAAAGAAGGAGAAAGAAAGAAAAGAAAAAGAGGAGAAACTAAGGTAGTTCTAGATAATGAAAAAACTGAAAAAATTTGTCAGCAGCAGATCTACTTTACATGAAATACTAACAGTATTTCTTCAGGCTGAAATGAAACGACATCAGACGTAAATCAAATCCACATGAAGAAATAAAGAGCACTGGTAAAGACACAAGTAGGTTGAAAGCAAGAGAGTGAAGGTATGCCATGCAAACAGTAACCAAGAGAGCTGGTGTGGCTGTAGTAATATCAGACATAAAAGACTTGCAAGATTAAAATTGCTATTAGCAACACAGGAAAACATAATGATAAAAGAGTCAATCTATCAAAATGATATAACCACTACAAATACATATGTACTTAACAACAGAGCCCCCAAATAAGTAAAGCAAAAAATTAACTGAAAGGAGAACTACAGAATTCAATAAGAACAGTTGGAGAGTTCAGTCTCTCATTTTCAATAATAAACAACTAGGCCAACCAGGAAGTAGAAGGCTTGAGCAACACTATAAACCAACTAGATCTAATAGCTATATACAGAACACTCCACTTCAAAAACGCAGTATAAATACTCTTCTCAAGTGCACATGGAACATTCTACAGGATAGACTATATATCAATATATTAGGCTATAAAACAAGTGTTAATATATTTTAAAAGTCTGAAATCATAGAAAGTATCTTTCTCACCACAGTGGAACGAAGCTAGAAATAAATAACAGAACACTGAAAAACTAAAAAAAATGTGAAAATTAAATAACATGCTTAAACAAACAATGGGTCAAAGAAGTCACAGGGAGATTAAAAAATATTTAGAGATAAATGAAAAAGAAAGCACAACATACCTAAACTCATGGGATGTGGTAAAAGTAATGCTTACAGAAAACTTCATGTCTGTAAATACTTCTGTTAAAAAAAAATCTCAAATGAATATTTCCACCTTAAGAAAGTATAAAAAAGAAGAGCAAACTAAATCTAAAGCAAAAATAAAGGAAATCATAAAGGCTACAGTGGAAATAAATAGAAATATAGAAAAACAATAGAAAAAAATCAACAAAACCAAAAGTTGATTGTCTGAGAAAATCAACAAAATTGACAAACGTTAGCCAGACTGACCAAGATAAAAAGAAGAGTCAAATTACTAAGATCAGGAATGAAAAAGGACATATCACTGCCAATCTTATACAAGTAAAAAGAAGTATAAGGGAATAATGTGAACAACTGTCTGTCAACAAGCTAGATAACTTAGATGAAATGAACAAATTCCTAGAAAGATAAAAAATACTGACACTGATTCGAGAAGAAATAGAAAATCTGAATAGACCTGTGGCAAGTAAAAAGAATGAACTAATAATAAAAAAAATCCTCACAAAGCAAAGCCTAGAACCAGATGGCTTCACTGGTGAATTCTACCAAAATGTTGAAAGA